GGAGGGAGAGATGGTGCCAGGAGGCCAAGTCTGGACCAGGAGGAGTCCCCTGCAATGGATCAAACCTCTCCCCTGTCACCCCGAGTCCCACTGGTGCTGTTACAGCCACTCTCCCCACCTGCCCAAGCCAGCGCCCCCCCCGGCATAGCAGGGGAGCAAGAGGGGACTCATGTCACAATTCCGCCCCACCATCCCACTCCCCTGCTCTGGGTTCACAGCCATTGCAAACCCAGGTGCTTTTTAAGGGTCTCATTTCTAGCAACACACTATGCCAGCCCCCCGAACCCTAAAAGATCTTTCCAGTTTTCCCCTTTGCCAGCGTGCCCATGCTCAGGAAAGCCAACCCTGTGGGCAGAGGCAGCACCATAAATTGGCCCGAGACTCTTTCTCTTGGGGGCACAGGGCGATGCGATGAGGACGGGAATCAGTCGTTTGCTGCATCCGCTGGGGAACAGAGTGAGGAGTGACGGGGTTTAAATCACAAGGAGCAAGATTGATGCGAGACATTAGGAAACACTTTCTAACAGAACAGACAGTTAATTACTCAAGTAGATTGCCTGGGGAAGCACTGGAGTCTCCATCACTGGAGGTTTTTAAGAAGAGGCTGGATAGCCATCCTTTGGAGAGAATTTAGGTGATATCAACCTCATTTTGGAGCAGAAGGATGGACCACACAGCATCTTACCACACAGGTCCCTGTGATCCTGGAATAAAATTTGTGAGAACCCTGAACAACCGTGGCCCAGCGTCAGTACTGCAAAGAGCTGTCATGGGCATCTTGTGACACGGGGTAGTTGTGGGTTGCTTTCGGTTTCTTAAAGATGACTTTTTTCTTGAGTCATTCTAAGTAGCTGACTGTGATGGTGTCAACCAAACCTGCTCCACTGAAGCTGCCAGGGCTGCGGGTTGGCATACGAGTTGTGTGGGAACTGCAAGGCATGGTGCAGAGCCAGGCAACAGGGTCATGGCTGGTCTGCCTGGCTGTATCCATCCATCCATCCATCCATCCATCCATCCACCCATCCAGGTAGCCGGGTGTTGATCCCTGGCTGCCTCTCCTGTCAATGAACTATAGTGCAGAAAAAGGCTCCGAGGACAGAAGAGACCAGCCTATGGCAAGACCAGCAAGAAGCACTGAAACCCCAAGTGCCGGTGGTTCTGCCATTGCCCACCACACCCTGCTTGTGGCTTTTCAGGCAGTTTTCCATGACAACGCAGGAGCCCCATTCACCCCCTACCGACACCACAAGGCTCACCTCCCCAGTCTACCCGTCAAAACCTTGCAAAAGAAGGGGAGGAAAAACCCAGCCAGCTCTCAGTCTCCACTCCGAGTTTCTCCTGAAATGGCCTATCCTCTCCTGGGGGACAGCTCTGCACATCCAGCCCAGGAGGACCCTGAGCTGGAAACAGCTGGAGGCCAGAAGAGTGCTGGGGACATGTGGTATGAGCGTGTCCTCTTCTTCCCCAGGCGTTCGTTTAACATTTGTACATTAAATATCCTAAATACCTGTCCTGCCCGGCCTGATCTGTGGTACACGAGTGTTAGCCGTGTGCCCGGCTGCACGTGTTACACAATATAAACCGAACAGAGGAGATGGGTGTCAGAACATGGCTCTCCCACATACTCACTAAAGGCTCTTGATGGAAAAGGCACAGGGAACTTAAAGTACATTTGAAGGTGGCTCTGGGCACGCGCTGCAGCAGAGAAAGCAGAGAGTCAAAGCATGCAAAAATGATAAAAGGAGAGAAGGAGAAGCTTTGATCAAATAGAGAGTGGGAGTAGGGGTGCTGGAGATGCCTGCAGAGACGGAAGCAAAGGCAGGAGCGTGGAGGACTTTGTACGTGAGAAGATACATAATTCCTTTAGAGTCAATCAAAGGAGGGCCAAGACACTCTGGATGCAAATTACCACTCACCTCCTCCAACATCCCTGATCCTGTTTTCCCCAACAGCCATGGGGATGTGGGGGCAGAGGAGATCTTAAACAAAATAATTTGTGTGTTCCTTTTATTTTCCTCCCAGTTTTTGAGCCTTCAGGTAACTTCAAATAGTATTTTCTAGTTGTTACAATCATGAGAAAAAGAAACTTCTGGGATTTTCTCTGAGTGACAGAAAGACCACTGTTCAAGCCTTGGATTCCAGCAGCTGAAGCTTCAAAAAAACCCAGCAACTGAGAACCATGTTCCAGAATGCCAGAAAAGCCCCCATACTGCTGAGAGAGACTCTAGAGACTCTATGGTTGTGTATGAAAAGGTGTGTACAGGAGTTGCGGATTTGTGGATATTCATTGTGGGACAAAAAAAGACCATTCAGCAAAATAAGGCTGTCCACACACTCTCCAACATCAAGATACCTTAGCTGCAGCGTTAAACACAGTGTAATTTTGGGCACTATCAATAGCTGAGTTCAGACAACACCCATGTTTTACAGGGCAAAGTTTGGCTTTGGTTTATATATTTTACATTGGAGATGGTGCTTATGAAATATGGAATTTCTCCAGGTAGAAATCCTACGTAGTAACAGAGCAACATCCATCATGTACTCAAAGGCCCAGGCACACAGAGCAGGTTACCTGCAGAGAATGAGACTGGAAATCATTTCCCACACCCTGTGATGTTACTGGTGGAAGCTGAGAAATTGCCAGTCAGACTTGGCTCTGGTGGTGTTTGTAGCCTGGTATCTTAAGGCAATGAAGCTCATCTGACTGTGTGATCACCAGCTTTCTCTCCACACGTTTCAATTCTGTTTCCCCAGAGTAGTACCAAAGTACCTGCAAGTTTCACCAAAAATACATAGATGCGTAGAGAAGAGGGATCCTGTCGTCCTTACTGAGCTGATACAGGAGAGAGAAATTCTGCACGTCCCCACCCTAGAAGAGCTTGCCTGGTGCCTGCACTTTAGGAGACACCAAAGACCCAGTAGTAAGATACAAGCCAGTAGGAAGAGAGGCCTCACAGACCCACTGCTCACATAGATGGTTTTTGGGGGCTGTGGATTAGACTGAAGGAAGATACATCTGCTTCATATTGGGCACCTAACAGCCCCTGATGGGGCAAGGCGAGTGGAAACCTGAAAATAGCTCAAGGATGGGCTGGAAACGGAAGCATAGTATGACTCTGTCCACATCCACTTCTCTCCATCTCCCATGTTCTCCCAGGTATTCAGCCTACTATACCCCTGAACCCCAGCCCCTATTTAACCTTACAGTTCTTATATACAAAAGCATCCAGAGTGATCACCTTGCCAATATCAACTAAGTAGTCTAACTTCTACCCCCTCGTGTGATACCAAGGCTATTTCTTCCCCTGCTATGAGAAGAGGGACAGGGTCAGGAACTATTCTCTCTTCTGAAAAAGTAGCTACAGTTACCCGCAAAACCTGCACTCCAGCTAAAGGTCAAACCTTGCACTGCCAGACCTGTGTGAGGCCAGGACAGAACAGCAAGGGATGAGGCACGTGTGCCAGCAAAACTGTGCCGTGCCGAGATTAGCGCAGCCGTGACTGTGGTGCAGGAGAAAGGAGCCTTTGTCAGGCTCCCTGAAGTAGGACGAGAAGAACAAGAAATGCTGAGGATTTGGGTTGAGGTGTCCTGATAGAGCAGTGCCTGCTGTGTTGGCAGCAGAGCTCCTCGCTGAGACGGTAGATGCTGCTTGGAGAAAAATGCTGCTCTTCTCAGGTGACAGGGAAGAACTTGTTTCTGGCCCCCCTGCCAAACATGTGCAGACTAGACATGTTTATTTAAAAAAAAAAAAAAACCAACCAAAAAAAACCCCACCCAAACAAAAAAACCCCGACCCAGCAGATCCAGGTGAAACAGGAGTAATTGCAAAGAGATCAGAAACTCCTTGGCCAAGACAGCTATCTCATTAATAAGGCCTAGCCACAGTATTTGCAACCTCATTTTCCCCTTCTCGCTCCAAGACAGCTCAACAGTTAATGATTTCCTCCCTGAAGCACTCATTACTGTCCCACCCCGCGCTGCGCTGCGCTGCGCTGCGCTGCTGGGGGGCGTGGGGATGACATCCTCAGTGTTTGCATCAAAGCCATTGTGCTGACACTGCAGTTTTGACTGTCAGCCAGAGGTGTTTGGTTTTCCTGGCAAACCTTTTTTTAAACACACATCCAACAACCTCCTTTCATTTTTCCCAACGAATTTCAGACGTTAGCACATCCCCCTGTTTTCCACCATCCCGAATGCTGCTTACCTCACTGCAGAATGCACCAAGGCCTGCAAAATCACACCAGACGGAATTATTATTTATTTATTTTTTAATTAACACTCAGTATAAATTATTCCAGCTCTACGTGATGCCAGTTTGTACCTGATAAAAACCCGGACCGAAGTATTGGGCAGTCAGCACTATGAAGAATACCTTCTAGGCAGAAGGGGGCTGAAACCCACCCGGCTTTGCTGCGTACGTCGGCAAACAGCTGAAATACCGGCTCTCGGAGAGACACAAGCTCTGATCCCAGCCGCCCTGTCGCGACTGGAGCTTACGGAAACCAGGAATTAAAGGAATATAACTGCAATTGGGGGTTGTTTCAGATGGATCGACAGAGGCCGCGCGGGGATACGCTGGCTGGGGAAAGGCGGGGGGGTAACTCCCGGAGCAGCCCCGCGCCGGGCGCCCGGTCGCTGGGGGCTTTTT